ACTCAGCCATTTACTTTTTTTTGTTGATTATTAAACAAGATTAATAGAGAAACTTTTGATTTTGTATCTTCCATGAAAAGGATGTATAATGCATTGGATCTAGTAGACATGACCATCAATTCATTAAAAAAAAAATTGGCTGAGGACTAGGTACCAGGAACATGCAGTTATGAAAAATTTGGCTTAAGGCCGGGATGAGGAATTACTCGTCATGAGTGCACAGAGCTCATGGTGGAAGATTAGACTCCTTGGGCATTTAGGAGGGGGCTCTTACATTACTTTTACTGGTAAATGAGTGTAGAATGCACTCTGAAAGCCATGGCTGTAAGAGGGGCAGCTCTAGGGAAGAAACCATTTCTATTCCTGCCATCCATGAATGGCATACTGCAGAAGATTAAATAATACAAAAAAATATTAGAAAGTGACATAAATAACAAAATGTTATGTACTGTTATTGCACAAAGTTGTAGACTACTTAGAAAGAAGTGCAAGAAAAGTCTATTACCATCTTGATACAGCAATGACAAAAAACAAACCAACACCTACACTACACTGCACTGCACTGCACTGCACTTCACTACACTACACTACACTACACTACACTACACTACACTACACTACACTACACTGCACTGCACTGCACTACACTACACTACACTACACTACACTACACTACACTACACTACACTACACTACACTGCACTGCACTGCACTGCACTGCACTGCACTGCACTGTACTGCACTGCACTGTACTACACTGCACTACACTGCACTACACTGCACTACACTGCACTACACTGCACTACAGTACACTACACTACACAGCATTGCACTCAGAAGTGGTGTTTAAGTATTTCAGCTTAGAATTAGCACTAAGGCCTCATTATTTCATACACATCTGTATCAAAGCCAAGCCACAAATCAGTATGTTATTGGTGCATATAAAATATGTAAGCACATGTGCTGGTTGCCTGCATGCTGCCACATTAGACTTCTCTGCATTTTAGCTGGCCTCTTGGTATTAGGTTGATATGTCTAATTCATATTCTAGAAAGTGCTGGACCAAAGCCACTGTCGATTCATAACTTATTGTCCTTTAGAAGATATTTGGCTCTGATAGAAATGTAAAGTCACATACAGTATAGAAAGTTCAGTATATGATTCAAGTATTAGTTTTGTGGTATAGATTAAAATTTTGAGAGAACTTAGGATAGGAAACAGGATTGCTGTAGTTTTTAGACATACCAAAAATGTTAACACTTGTGCCTGTCCATGATACTGTCTTTGAGAAAATTGTAAAAGATTTATAAATATAAGAAATTTCCAGTGAATGAAAAATACATCTGCAAGAAGTTAATGTAAGTCCACTTAAAAGAAAATTTACATATTACTTTTATATTATCAATTTATTTTTATTTATTTGTTTATTTTTAGGAAGGTTATCCATTAAGCCTTTCTTTAACAGGATGATAAATAGTGTAGTGATATCAGATAGGCTTCATGTATTATATTTCATGTTTTATTGTGTGGTGCTATGCAGTTTGAATTCAGTTGTATACCATAATCTGAGATCTTGATTATATAGTCTGACCCACATGTTTGCTCCTTGGCAGGGCGGTGATGTGTCAGATCGTCAGCCAGAAGTGACATCACATTGTCCAAGTCAACAGGAGGAGGATCCATTGGAAGGACCTAGTTGGTGGTACACGGATCTCGAAAACGTCCGTGGTTCCCGAGGCGGTAGGCATGGTGACAGCAGAGGAAGAGGTCGTCAGAGGAGTTCTGGGAAACACTCTCCTGGCATTAATTTAGCAATGGAATCATCCAGTGAAAGTGAATGTGATGACTTGCCATCTCGTAAACCCAAGGTATTGGAGAAAAGCCCTGCTGGACTTCAAAGCCCACAGGCTAACAAAAAGCCTTCTTGTGCCTCGCTAGAAGTAAATAAGAGTCCAAGATTATCTTTAGACCATAGTTACCTTGCTTCACCTGCCAGCATGTTGGCCAGATTGGAAAACTTAGAAGCTAAAGCTGGGCGTCGATCAAAAGCTCGGTCAAGAGGCATGTCACTTCGGGGGAGCGTAGAAGAAGGTGGTAGGCCAAGTGAGGTTGGGACTGAAGGTGGGCGAAGGCTCACTCGGCGAAGAACAGAAATACAGAGAAATAGTGTAGAAGCTGATTCTGGAAAAAATGAGGATGACTCCTTCAATCTAAAGCTAGAGGAAACCTTGCTGGAGACTGGGGATGATATCAAAGTGGAAAGTCAAGAAAGTGATTCAGTCCTAATGCCTCCACCAAGAATGCCATTACCTGTAGTTGAGAAAGATTTTCTTATCACTGATAATGACTTAACATGCATTGGTGATATTAGTATGGATATGACTGAACCATTATCAAAGATAATAGGCCAAGCAGCAGTAGATATACACAAAGAAGATACAAAAATTGAGAGAAGATTTTTCAAAACACAAACCCCAGATTTACCTGGATCACCAAAAGC